AGGGGCCTGGGTTGCTCTCTCCCCTTAAGTCTTTGCTCATGTATTTAGGGGCCTGGGTTGCTCTCTCCCCTTAAGTCTTTGCTCCAAACTCTGCCTTATTTTTCTTCATAGCACTTAGTGCCAGTGGACACAGATTTTCTAAATGCATTAGTTGTCTGCCTTTTCCTACACCTCCCTCCATGCCAACTGCATATGATGCAAGCTCAGCAAGAGTAGGATATTTGTTTAGTTTAGAGCAGTATCTGGAGCATAGTAAGTGCTCAATAAAATTGAGTGAATGAATCCTGGGACACGCTATTCATTTAGAAGAGCAGTTATTTTCCTGAGCATCTCTATAATGTAAACATTTTATGAATCACAAGAGGTAATAATTTATTATGACAATAAATAATCATAAGGTTCTTGGAGAAAGTTCATACTGTCAAAACTTACAATTATCCATCCAAAATATTATAGGTGGTGGTAATCCAATTGGGGGTCTGCAGGGAAGTACTAAAGATTGACCATTTCTAAGTGTTATTGGTTCAAGTTTTTCTTTGGTCCACAGTGGTGACCCTATTAAAAAAAATAACTTCTCAGTTATTTTTGCATTGAAAAATAAAGAAAGTACTATAAAAGAGGGCAAACTGAATTCTTGGAGAAATAGCAACTTGGAATTTATGTACATTAAATTAATGAGAAAATAATTTTTAAATGCAGAGTACTTTTTTAAAAAGTAAAATACAAGTCAAATATAGTAAGAACTGACAATTCTCATTCACTGCCATTGAATGTTTAAATTCTGAGTCCATGATTCCATAGCTAAGAATTTATACGAAATATATCATTAGCAAGATGCATAATTGTGATATAAGCATGTCTTCACAAAAGAATGAAAAACACTTAAAGGTCAAAAAATGTTAAATACATAATTGTGTATCTATGCCTTTGAATACCATAAAATATTATATGTTTGTTTATAAGATTGTTATGAGAATATGTACATACTATATCAATAACATGGATATATGTACATAATATATCAATAACAAGGCTGTTTAATAATATTTCAGAATGAGCTAGTTTTATTTTTTATTTATTAATTTTTCTTGAGACAGACTTTCACTCTGTGACTCTGGGAGAGTGCTGTGGTATCATTATAGTTGACAGCAACCTAAACCTTGTCCTCAAGCAATCTGCTTGCCTCAGCCTCCAGAGGAGCTGGGACCTCAGGTACCCACCACAACGCCTGGCTAGTTTTTGAGATGGGGTCTTGCTATTGCTCAGGCTGGTGCTGAACTCCTGAGCTCTAGCAATCCACCTGCCTCGGCCTCCCAGAATGCTAGAATTATAGACATGAGCCACGGAGGCCTGCCAGAATGGACTGATTTAAAAAACACACATATACATCTGCCCAGGAAAAAACAGAAAGAATATTTGAGCAATAGTTGTTTCGTAAAATGGGAAGATTGATGAGTAGATTTTAAATTGTTCTGCTTATTTGTAATTAATTTTTTTATAGCGAACATATATTACACATGTAATAATTTTTTTTTAAATGACCAGAACAGCAAATTGTCACTGTTACTTAAATATATGCTGTCGAGGTTGTTGAGAGGGTTTCAGTGTTGATCGTTGCTAAAAGAGCCACAATAATATCAGGGTTAGAGAAAACACTCTATTTCCAGTGAAATTTTGAAACAAAAATGTTTAAATAAGTAAGACTTAAACTTGGATTATTTATGTGATCCATCTGGGCATAGGAATTTTTCTTACATGTAAGATACATGAGAAATAAATAAGAAGATAAATCTAGAGAAGAAACAGTTTTTTAAAAACGCTGGTGTCTTATTCAGAACTTGTATAAAGACACATTGGATTAGCAAAGCATGAGGGCGAGGAGCTTGTTAGGGTAAAGTAGGAAGGAGCAATAATTTTCATGCAAAACAAAGTGAGACTATCAGAAGCAATGCTGTTGCTTTTTACTGTAACGTATTTGGATGTAACAAAAGTGAGCCTTGGCCCAATTCTTTTAAGGGTCCTATTTGGTTGACAAGTCCCACTTACTAGAAGGGCGGACGACGATGTTATTAGAAATCGCAGCCCCGCGTTCGTTCCTCGCTGTACACTGATAGACTCCTTCATACGTCTCAGCCTTCCCTTCGCTCATGATGTTGATGACCAGTGTCCCTGAGCCAGGCTTCATGGTGACCAGAGGGTCTTTGTCTATGTCAAAATGAGTCCCATTACGGGTCCAGGAAAAGCTGCCCAACACACAAAATTTGAAGTATGTTAATGGTCCAGAAAAATAGGATTACTTTGTAACAAATTCCCAGCAGTTTTATGAATTTCTAGAAATAATTACTAGATTTTATTATTGGGTAAAAGAGCAATAAGCCCCGATACCTAATATGTTTCACTGAATCATGAGTTAGAGAGAAGTTCGGACTATACATTTTGAAGGTGCCTGTCTTCTGCAGAGCTGACCCAAATCTGACTTGATAGAGAAATCTTGAGCACAAATTTCTGTTCATTTTTCTAAGAAAATATAGGAAGCAAGACTCCTGGGCACCCTTTATTACCATTTTTATTGTAAATGCTGCTATTCACTGCTTATAAAAAATTGCTCTGGGCTAAAATGTGACAAGAAAGCCCTTTACAAAGTACTATTGACTATGTGTGGAAAATTGATCAGACTAGTTTCAAATTACAAAATGCAAAGTGTAGGTTGAGAGGTGGGTAAGAGATAGGAGTTGGGGGTGTTTTAAATGTTGGTTATTAAAAATGGTGATTCTATATGTATAATTTGAGAGTTTTTTAATTCTAGAGATGATTTTGTGAATTCATGAGGAGGTATGCCAAACTGTCATCTGAGATTTCTTTCTTGGGATTTTTTTTTTTATTTTTGAGACAGAGTTTCACTATGTCGCCCTCAGTAGAGTGCTGTGGCATCACAGCTCACAGCAACTTCAAACTCTTGGGCTTAAGCAATTCTCTTGCCTCAGCCTCCCAAGTAGCTGGAACTACAGGCACCCGTCACAACGCCCAGCTATTTTTTGTTATAGTTGTTATTGTTGTTTAGCAGGTCCAGGGCCAGGTTCGAACCCACCACCCTTGGTGTATATGGCTGGCACCGTAACCACTGTGCTATGGGCGCCAAGCCTCAGCATTATTTATTTAAAAGACTGTCTTATATAAAAGTCACAGTGCTCATGTAATTAAATACTTTGTAAGTAGTTGCAAAATAATAAAGGCCATGCTCATACCCGGGCATGAATCTCTAGACTTCACAGTATTTTCTGGGCCTACAGGGATTTTCCTTGTCCCTGCTCGTCTTTGCAGCAGTGGCTGTGAAAACTAGTGCAGGAGGTGGTGGATGCTACTGACCTATAGTGGGTAGAGGCCAGGGACATGCTACATATCACACCAAGCACAGGACAGCTTCATCTCCACAAAACAAAGAAACAAAAAATGACCTCACCCTAAATACTGATAGTGGTGAGGAGGAGAAATCCTGCTTTACAGAGAGTTACAGGAGGTATTAAATAAGTATGATACTGAGAGAAAGCCCAGCAAAGACATACATCAGGGCTTGTGTGAGAGAGGGTTTCCCATAGCATGGCAGACTCTATTGTTTTGAAGCAAACCTTTCCCTGAAGTTTTGACATAGGGCATAGGGCATTTCATATCAGTTAATTTTTTTCTTAAGTGCTATAAGGCCTATAAAAGACACACTTGGAAATAAAATATCTAGAAACTTTCACTTCTTTATTACTTAAAAATCCACATTACATTTTAATAGTAATAAACCAACTCTCCAAAACTCCCATACATTATGAGGCAACTTACAGATTATCCAGTGTAGGACCTTGGATAAGTTACCTAGAATTATTGGGAATCAGTCTTTCATCTATAAGTGTATTGCTTGGGCTGGATTATCTCTCCTCTCTTTACCAGCTCTAAATGCAGTGTTCATGCTAAGATCCATATGGCATGAATCCTGAGTACTGAACCTGACCAAATTTGGAAAACCATTTAGACTATTTTATAGGATGCTATAGAGATAGAAGATTTTTTTTTTTTTTTTTTTTTGAGACAGAGCCTAAAGCTGTCACCCTGGGTAGAGCTCACAGCAGCCTCCAACTCCTGGGCTCAAGAGATTTTCCCCTCTCTGCCTCCCAAGTAGCTGAGACTACAGGCGTCTGCCACAATGCCCGCTTATTTTTTGGTTTCAGCCATCACTGTTGTTTGGCAGGCTGGGCTGGATTGGAACCCACAAGCTCAGGTATATGTGGCTGGCGCCTTAGCCGCTTGAGCCATAGGCACCGAGCCAGAGATAGAAAATATCTTAAAGTCATCAATTCAACCTCTTCCTTTTACAGAGCAGGAAACTAAAAAGGTTTGCCCATGTCATAGGGCCATTAGTAACAGAACCAGGATTAGAAGGCTCTTTCACATCTCCCTACAATTTCTGACCATTTTGCAGAGGGGTATGAATAGGGAAATCTAGATTATTAAGAACAAATTGGCTCTATTAAGCAGAAAGACAAAATAATAAAGCTATGGATGATACTTTAGGAGATGCAGGACCTAGGAATATCCTTGGAAATCCTTCAATGTCTTCGGAGGGCCGAACTGAGACAGGGAGTTGGTCGGGTGAACCAAAGGGTAATCTAGTCTGCCAATTTGAGAAATATCCAGCTAGAAAAGAAAGTGTTCCACATCGCTAACCTTATTTTACAGAAATTCCCACACTTACTTCTCTATTCAGAGTGATCACCTGACCTTTTCAGTACCATAACAAAGCAAAAACCAACTGACCTTGGAGGAGGCTTCCCTTTGGCCTCACACTGGATTACAATATTCTCCCGAGGGTCAATAATGTAATCTTTTGGAGATTGTTGCGTGATGGTTGGAGGTTGTACCACTTAATTGTAGAAAGAAGAATAATGTAAAGAAATAAATCATTTAATATAATGGCAATCATTTTTTTCCTGAATCAAAATCTCTTACCTAAAACTTAATACACTTTAAGTACTTTTAGTAATTTCTGCTGTAGTAGCACATACCGCAGTAGACTTTTAATCAAAAGTCTCCTAAAACTGTGAAGGCAAGGCATAGTGTCTTTTGGTAACTTGACACACACTCACACAGTCCATTTTCCCACACTAAAAGTTTGGGAAAATAATTGCCAATACAGGTCTGCTACTAAGATAGTTTCTTTTCTGATGTAACAATGAGAAATTCTTCTGGTTTCTTTGGTTCAAATGATGTTTTTCAACAAAATTTCAGTTATGAGGTAAATTTGCATCTTAGGAAAGAATAACTGACTTATAGTTCTTTAGTGTGCTAACATAAATTAATATATGTTGGGAACAAATAAATTTGAGAGGTTAATATTAGAAAAATTGCTAAATTGGAGACTTGACCTGTCTTACAGAGCTAGGATGCAGGTGAATTAGGAACAAAGATAAAATGGTCTCATTTAGCAGATAAATGGAATGGAGGAAGATCTCTGTTCTAGGAGACAGTGTTTCATTTTGCTCTTCAAAGTGTTATCTGGCCATTTATTATCAAATCAGAAAGAGAAACTGTTCTTCTGACTCAGAACAATCTAATCTGAAGAAAGCTGATTTCTAGACTGTAATGCTCTTTAAGTAGTTCTCAGATCATCTTGTCCTTCTTCTTGTGAGATCATACTTACAGAGGGTTAGAACAGAAAGGGACTGGAGAATTCATCTATTCCAGACTATATTTTTGCTGCTCAGGATGGCAAAAGGCTCCACTAGGAAGGCACAAAGCAGAGAATAGAATCAAACTTTCTCCGCCGGCTCCTGGTAGAAAGCCGTGGCCTTGCACAACATCACAGAGAGCTGTTTACACAGACCAGTAGTCCTTAACCAGGGCCATTTGTCCTCATCTTTCTGTGGACATTTAACCACAACTGGAGACAATTATAGTCATCATGACTGGGGTCCAGGTGATACTGGCATGTAGTGGAGAGAGGCCAGGGATGCTAAACATTTAACAAGGCACAGGACAAGAATCATCTGTCCAAGGAAAAGACTTATCTGGTCTCTAAGGTCAGTGATGCTGAGGCTGAGAAATCCAGGGCAGACCATGATGGGCATGGCACCCAGAGCAGGGCAGTGCGGTGGCCCTGCCCCAGGATGCTTTCCTCCGCAATGTGCAACTTTCCCAAGGCCTAGCTTGGACTCCCACTTTCCTTTCCTGCCTTTTTTTGACATTCTGGCTCATTAAAGCCAATTAATTTTCCCTTTCCTCTCTGCCCATACTCTGCTTCCTTCATGAAGACTCTTCTACTTGCCAAACAAGCATTTCCCAGAGCTCAGTAACAGTCCTCTGCCCTTCTTTCTCTCTCATGGTTAATTATTGCAAGAGTTAAATAATCATCTCCATATCCAAAGTCTTATAAAACC